TAAGATTACCTCGAAGAGCATCATAGGTCGTTGTTTGGAAGTCACGACCTTCTTCGATTGCGTCCACCTTTGAACGCCATTTGGGGGATAGGCTTCGCAGCACCTTTCTCACGAGCTCTCGGTCGGTGTAGGTCTTCCCAAGAAGATTGAGAGGATTAATGATGTTAGAGAACCTCTCAAACATTTCCTCAATCTTCTCATTTTCCTTCATTGAGAAGAGTTCGTACTCGTGAGTAAGATGGTCGATTTTGGCCTCCCGAACCTGCGCGGTTCCTTCGTAGGTGACCTCCAATTTCTCCCACATTTGTTTTGCGGTTTCACACCGCAAAATTTTGCGGTAGTCATCCGCATTAACACCGCAATAAATCATGTTTATTGCCTTTGCGTTGAGCTCCATCTTTTTGCAATCTTCGTCGGTGAACTCCTCTTCGGTTTTGGGAACGTTGACTTCACCGACTTTCTTCATCGGGACTCCGCAGGCGTTCTTCACAATCAACCATAGCTTGTAGTCGTTGGATTGGATAAAGATTCTCATCCTCTCCTTCCAATACGAGTAGTTTGTTCCATCGAACAAAGGTGGCCTCGTGGTTGATTGTCCCTCGGTCACTCCTGCGTTGAACATCCTTGATGCCATTTGATCTTTTAGTTCCTGAAAAATAACGTATTCGAAGAACTTCCTACTCCGATACCAATTGTTAGACAAATGTGCAACTCTAGAGGGGGGGTGAATAGAGTTGTTTTCAAGAATGTGCGTTTTTCGCGTGTGTGAAATAATAAAATCGCAGGAATAAATAAAAAGAGTAAGAGAAAGAAGAACACCGAGATTTATACTGGTTCACCACCTCGTGGCTAGTCCAGTCCTCCGAGAGACTCTCTCGAAAGTCCTACTAATCTTCAAGCTTCAACGGGTGCTTGAAAAACCGGTACAACTTGAGAACTTGAATCACACAAGCCTCACTTTCTTACAACACCAAGACTTGAGTCACACAAGTCTTAAGAACAACACTCAAATGAGATTGAGTTTACAACACAAGAATGAAAGCTCACACAATTGAGCAAAGTAGTGTTGAAGAATT